GCTCATGGTGAAGCGGGGATTCTCATTTTTCACCTATGTTCCTATTTCAAAGAATAGAAGATGAAATACACAAAACTGAAACAATGTGGAGAGAGAATAAACGGACGGAGGAAATGGATAATTATCTTTCCACTAGGTAGAGTTGGAAGTGTTGTCAGTTTACTTATGGATAATTTTAAGCAATGTCATTATTTTAATTAGAAATGAACTATTGATCACTGAAGGCTTAACTACCTGTTCAGTTTTCACTAATAGGGAAAGATGGGCCTTGCTTACACATGTATGTAATTTATTGTCTTAGAAAACATGGAACACATTCGTATTTCTGATGGTCAGAGACTGCAACATTTCAAAGTCTTAGCAATTCCTAAAATTCAGTTGTGAATTCAAGGCAAATATTTACTAATGATAAACCTGAATCATAAGAAACTTTGATTCAGAGTTAATGAAATCAGAATCTGAGTCACAGTTTCTTTCAACTTTCTAAGAACTCTACATTATTTTCTTTCAGTTCATTTACTGTGTTAAATAAATTCCACTATATTTTGGATTTTAGTTAATAATAGAATATGGGCCTAGTCCTACATGCAAATAATCATGTCAAGGCATTTATTATATACCCTTCTGTATAGCTTCTCTCATAAAGCTTGTCCCAACACATATTTGTTTTCTTTTTATTTTTTCTGTTTCAAGCCAACATATATTTTGGATTGAAAACTTAAAAGTTTACCTTATGAGTCTAATTGAAAAACGTTTAACTGAAGATTAAAGCAATCATTATACATGATACTGAGAAACTGTCATGTCATTTGCTCTAGATATCAATATCATTTAACCATCTTCTTCCTAAATATGTGGCCTTCTTTTGTTGTTTAGTATGGTGGTGGCTGCCCTTTCCAGGTTCTTTTAAGTAGCACAGTAGACAGAATAAGCTAGTGTCCGGGCGGCATAACAACTCTTTTCCTAGACTTTACACTCAGTGTCCTATTGTTTTTGACTCTTTCAACCAGGTGCTGGATAAAAATCCCATCTCAGACTAGGCTTCTTGAAAACCCATTCTCAGACGTCATTTAGATTCTCTTTTACAGATAATACCATATGTATCTTTTTAACTGCAGATATAGTTGCTGAATTTCAATGTGAATGCTAAATTCTAAAAATTAATCCCACTAACTGATACTCTATCCTATCCAGGTCATGTCAGAGGAGACACTGAATAAAATGTTTGGAGGAAATCAGTCCACCGTGTCAGAATTTGTGCTTCTGGGACTTGGCCATTCATGGAGTATGCAGGTCTTACTTTTAATAATATTTTTGTTGCTTTACGTGATCATTGTATCTGGAAATATTGTCATTGTGACTTTAATCATCACTGACCCTCATCTCCATTC